ATTTAATTTTTTAATTCAAATTAAAATAAAAAATAATTACCTACAATTAAAAAGTTCCCTTTTATTATTCCAAAATTCCCAAAAGCCCAAAACTCAAACCCTAATCTAAAAACATCTCGTTCCCCTGCCAAAGTTCCTCTTTTCTTCTTCCAACCCCTTCCATGGCGCCACCGTTCTCTAATCACCATCACCTAATCACTGCCTCCAAAATCAAACGACCAAACCTCTTATCAAAGCCCTCGTCGTCGTTTTCCTTAGCTCCGTCTACATCATCGGGTTCTACCAAAACGCTCGCGGCTCAATTCCCCTCCCCTGTTCTAGCCCAAACAAGTGAAACAACAACAAAAAAGACGTTGCTTGCGTCATCCCTGTCCCTGCCACCAACACCCTTGACTTTGAGTCCCACCGCCGTCCTCCGCAGCCTTGTCTGAGTTCCCTCCGTGGCCCGTTCGACCCCTCCAACTCCGCCACGCGTCGCCGTGCTGGATCCAGAGACTATCGCCCGGTCTCCTCCGATCTCGTCCTCCTCCTTGACCTCTCTCCCACGCTCGAAGTTTCGCAGTCGGAGGATGCTGAGGCGTGATCTGGAATGTGGTTCATATTAGCAGAAGGTGAGAAGTTTTTGTAAGGAACGGGTCTGTGGGGGACGCCATTTCAGGAAGGACAGGGCGGAGTGGTAAAAGGGGAAGGACATCGGTATCGATGTCGTGGTGGCCGGAGGATTGGAGGGCAGAGAGGGCTTCAGCAACGGAGGTCGGAGGATTGATTTTGACGATGATGGTTGATTAAGATTAGGGTTTGGATTTGGGATTTTGGGATGATGGGATAATGGGAGGGAATTTTTTTAATTTGTTAATTTTCTTTTTTTAATTAAATGACAAAATTAAAATTATATTATTTAATGATGTAGCACCATGTATAAGCCACATCAGCAATTTTTTCTGAGTCACTAACAGAATAATTGTTTGACTGTCAATATTAACGGTTAAAAAAAGATTAGTGCCAAATCTGTCCATTAATTTAAAAATAGGCCACAACTGTCTTATTGAAAAATTGTGGCCATAACTAACACTTACGCCAAACTTCAGGCCGAATTAGGGTATTAAGCCTATTATTTTTTCCTCCAAACAATTGTTCGAACATGCTTTTTGCTTGTTTGATGATTGGTGAATTGGTTATTAATAATGAGATTGTTTCTTCTTTTTCTAGACTACATTTTGCTTATTATATAATATTGTTTCTTCTTTTTCTAGACTACATTTTACTTATTATATAACCTACGAAGACAAATTCTTTAAGTATATAAACAAAATAATTTCACTTGCATTAAATTGTTTTAGATTGGAATGATTATGATTTTTTCTTGTCCTTATTCGTGAAGAATCGATTTCTCAAAGGTATAAATGTTTTGATCTATTTGAGTTTGATTGTCAAACGAAGTGGATTAAACATCTTTTGTTGCATTGTATTGTGTTTCATAGTCTTTGTGTGCTACAGTGCACATGCATTAACCACATCAGTCATTAGATTCATCATCAATTGACATTACGTAGTTTAGACTGTTTGGTGTCAATTATCTAGATTTACATGTTTAATTCAATTTTGTTGTGGTGGCATTTATGAAAGAGAAGAAATATGGTTCTTATTCACAACTTTGAGAATTCAATGCATCTAGAATCTGAAAGACGAGAAAAATTCATTACCATGCATTCCCAGTGAAACAACTTAATGAAAGTGAAATTATTTGGTTTTTGTATATATAGAAGAATGTGCCCTCATAAGTTATACAATAAACAATCTCATTATCATTATTAGTAAAATACTGCACAGGTAAGTTGTGCATCAAATACTTACGAACATTTTATTTTATCTTTAAACTAATGGTACGTCTAATAGTATGTCAATAGCCATAAAATATAGGCAAAATACACTTGTATAGTCATAACTTTCACATTTGTGACAAATATAACTATAACTATCCAAAAACATAAAATAACCCGAAAATTGTATGGTAGTGTGACAAATCTAACTATTTTCATTAGAAAAACTTTAACGGTGTTAAAGATCCTCCAGTTAGATTAACATTAGGCTGACTATTTTCAAAAAATTAACCCAATAAACTCGGACCAGGTTATTGTCTATGAACATCGCCTAGCTCAACTGGCTTAAACGCCACTTCTACGTTACCCCCTTGGTGGCCACCAGTAGGGGTGGAAATCGGTACGGTATCGGTATCCCAATACCAAATACTGAAATCGCGAATACCGAATTACACCCTAAAATCAATCCCAATCCCAATTCCTAAATAATTTTGGTATCCCAATCTCAATCCCTAAATATTTCAGTATCCCAATTGGTACCTCGGTATTCCAATCGGTATTATCGAATACAAAATTAATTACCTTTACAATTAATAATTAAATATATAACTTTGATTTTATTGTTTAATGTAGGGCAAAGAGACTAAGCAAAGAGTCTTGAGTTGCCTAGAGCTAACATCTCAAGTTCTTGTACTTGGTAATTTTTAATTTGATGAAGTTGAGGTTGAGAGACGACTATACTAGTGTCAAATAGTGATGTAATGATCTATGTATAATTAAATGGCACTCTTGGTGGTAGAGGGTCACGTAGTAATGAATGGTAGAGTCTAGTTGAGAGGATAAAATACACACTAGCTTATATTTCGGTATTGATGGCATTTCGATATATACCGATCCCAATCCCTAATACCGAATAACAATTGAAATTCAATCCCAATTTCACGAAATAATATGTGTATTCGGTAATACCGAATATAGACAAATTCGGTATGGTATTCGGTATATCCCAAATACCGGTACCAAACTTCCAGCCCTAGCCACCAATAGGCTTGTAAGCTCGTATTAAAAGCTGTCAGAGTTTACCGGCTATCTATGGGGTCGGGATTTGTTGTTGCAAGACAGATTTCTCCTTGTATAAAAAAATAATTTGGAAATAATACCAAAAGTAAAAAATTTAAAAAATTTAACACATAAAATATGTACGTCAATATATACGTATATTAAATGGAATACATAGTTACTATGCTAATTAATAATCACAGTTCATAAAACAAGCAAAAACAAATTCAAACAATTATTTGGTGGAACAAATTATATAACTAATAATTAACTACTGCTAGTTATTAACCACCATTCATAAGTAGTACATGGACTAATTCATTCTCATGTAAGTTACACTACTGCCACCGCAAGAAGAATCCCAGACCTACTCAAAATTATCCTGCTTCACCCCCATGGATCGAGCACCTAAACCCTATTGGTCAACTGGACCCGGTGCCACACCTTGTGCAGCTATAGTTTTCGTGGATGGAAGCGGTGGAGAGCGAGTAAACACCAGATAACAATAGAATTAAAGCCTCCGCCGGCATCGCTAAATCGGCCGGCCCCAATGCCTCCGGAGTGTCAGCAAGACTCTCAGTTCTCGATGAAGTAGCGGCAGGGCCAGCGCCGACGCAATCTCGGCCACTGGAGTAATGGTGGGAGAATCGTAAAATATAATACAATATTTAATGGGAGAGAGAAAATATATATAAAAAAAAAGAAATTAACAACTTCCCTGGTTAGTGGTTATCTCCGTGGGTTGGCCACTGATTTTGGGCTGGGTTTTACCGAGTTTCAATTAATTCCACATCGACTTGTTAATGTCAACGTGGCCCAATAGAATTTGGTTGCACCGGTGCCGCACTTTTATCAGCGGCACCATAGTATTGGCCTCTTCTTTTAGGTGGTTTGGGGCAGTTTTAATGGGCTACACAGGTTGGGTTGGAATTTAATGAATTCAGCCCTATGCCATATCATATCCACGTGGCCCACTCTATATAGGGATGGAGCCTCCAAAGTCAACCCAGTTGTTTTGTTTTTTCATTTTGTATGGTTTGTATTGTTTGTCGGTCTAGTTTGTATTATTTGTACAGTTCGTATGTTTTGTATTGATTGTAAATCTGTTTGTATGGTTTGTCGTTGTAGATTGTACTGTTTATATGTTTGTACTAATTGTAAGTCCAGTTTATATACTTCGTAATTTTACATAATACCCAAATTATCCATGTGATTAATTAAATAGCTCTTCCCACTTTTTAACTGTCAGATTGCTGTTTTCAGATTTAAGAGTTGGAAGGAGCTTAGACTGACTCCAACCATAGAGCTAAAAAGCCATTTACCCATTTTTAGCTCTTTTTTGGTGCTCCAACCCACATTATTTTGGGGAGCTAAAAATGGGTATTGGTGAATTGGGAGCCAAATTTAGCTCCCAAAAGAGTGGAAAAGCCAAATTTGGCTAGAGAAAATGGTGGACCCGCGGCGGGTCCTCCTTTATTTTTTATTTATTTCTGTGGAACTTTCTCATTGGTTGATTGTGTTGTTTTCTTTTTTTCTTTTTTTGTGTGGTATTTTGTCATTGGTTGATTGTGTATGTTGTTTGTTTAATTGTTCGAAAGAAGATATGAATTGTTGTATGTTTAATTAGTATTTTCTCATTGGTCCCGAAGTTAACAGTAACAAAATAATGACTAATTTTCTGAAATATTTTTTGTCTCGGAATTAAAAAAAATTACATCGAATTTTCCCCCCAAAAGTAATAACTAACTATAGAATAATTAAAGTGAAATATGAAAATTAGAGGTCAAATAAGTATGGTTTATTGTAATAAATTGAAAAAAGGGAGATGGGAAGCGAAATTTAGCTTTGTGTAGGGTTGAAGTGAAAATGGGATTTGAGGAGTTAAAAAGCCATATTTGACTATTTGGGGAGTCAAATTTAACTTTACGAGTTGAAGTTAGTCTTAATCAAGTGAATAAACACCTCCCTCAGTCAGAGGATCCTTCCTCGATTAAGGGTTTGCCAAACCGCCAACCCTAAAACTATCGCGTGGATATCAAAACTCCCAAATCAAGCAGCACCACGTGTCCCTTCCTATCACCATCCGCCCCACTCCGGTCACTCTATCAACTCCCTCGAAGCCGCAGGATCAAATTTCGTTGTGCCTCGAAGTGGGAGCCCCACCCCACAGGCCACAAGCGAGATTTAAAATCGTCTCCCTTCCCTCCCTCCTCCCGAAACCAAATCCACATTTCTCATTTCCATCTCCGCCATCAAAACCCTAGCAAAACCCCAACAATAGAATTTCCTCCTTTCTCTCTCCCATTTTTCACCCCCACACAAAGAAAGGCTAGCTCAAAAGAATGGCTAAGAAGAAGAACCACAACCAGAACGGCAAGACTGAGAACGAAGAGGCTCTCAACAACCCGACGCCGATGCATCAGCAACAGGATCAAGAACCAGTACTGGCCATGGCGGATCAGCAGCAGCCTCCGTCGCTATCGCGGATTTCCTCCTTGGAAGTATCCGAAAACGAGAAGCTGAAGGCGCTGAACCAGCGGCTGATCAAGACCGTGGCGGCCAAGAGGCAGGATGTGGAGACCTTGGAGCGAGAGAAGAAAGGCCTGCAGTCCGAGTTGGAGAAGCGCGCCGCGGATTTCCTCGCCGGGAGTGACGAGATAGCTTGCTCAGAGATAGAACGGAGCGTCGCGTTCGAGGCTCTTAAGGAAATGGAAGACGCGTTCAAGAGAGGGAATCTTGAGAAGGAAGGCGAGATCTGGTCGCTGAGGGAGGTAATCGAGAAGTTGACCGGCGATGTCGAGTCCGAGAGGGAGAGGTTGAGCAAGATTTGCAGGGAGAAATATGCGATCGAAAGCGAGCTCTCCGGGAGGGTTGAGGAAGCTGAACGCTTGAAGGCGATAGTGAAGGAGATGGAGGAGAAGCAAAATACGAGCGAAGGTAAGATTCTTGAACTTAAGGTTGACATTGATGGATTGAGTAGCCAGAAGAAAGACGTAGAGAAGAAAGTCGAGCTTCTTGAACGAGTTAGGGATTCTGCTGAGATGAATTTGTCGGTTAGGGTGAGTGAAATCGAAGCTCTGAAAGCTGAGATTGAGCGAATTCTTGATGAGAAGAATGCGATTGAGATTGAGAAGAGTGATCAGATCGTCAAGATTGGTTGCTTGGAGGAAGAAATCAAGGGATTGAATGATTCTGTGCTGAGTTTCACTACTGAGAATGGCCTTCTGAGCGAGAAGGTGATTGAATTGGAGATGAGCTATGGCGATGCAATTGAGAAGGAGACAGCAATGAGAAGAGAGATCGATTCCTTGATTGTAGAACAGAGGGAGAAGATAAAGATGGTCGAAACATTGACAGAGGAAAAGGATTCTCTCGGTAGGATGATAGATTCCGTTAGTGGAGAATTGGAGGGTAAGAACCTATTGATCGATAAGCTCTCTCGAGAGAAGGAAGAGATTGAGGGAATCTCCAAGAGTAAAGAGTCTGAAGTTGCAGAACTGCTGAATAAGGTAAGCGAGTTGGCCGGTTCTCTGATTGCAGCAAATGACTCCATAAAGGCCCAAGAAGCTCGAAACAACGAGTTAGCTTCTGACCGTACTCAGTACAGAGAGAGACTGGAGCGATTGAAGGTGGAGAAACATGATCTGCAGTTGGCTTTGGAGGACGAGCAGGGTTATGGAGCTAACTTGAGGTCTAAACTTGCAGAGGAGTCGATTAGGATCGAGGAAGCTGCAGTGAAGCTTGAGAAGGCAAACTCTGAGAAAGAGTCCCTAATGGAGGAGAAGAAGGCAGTGGAAGCCGATATTGAATCCTTGAAGAACCTTAGTGGTGCGATCGAGAAGAAACTTGCAGAAACACATGTTGAGAATGTGGAATTGGAGGGTAAGCTGAAATCAACTGAGAAGGAGCTGGATCGAGCTTTGAGCCTGCTGAGCAACACTGTGAAATTGGTCTCCCAGAGCAGCAGCAGCAGCAATGGATCTGTAGATGGTGGTGTGCAGAAGGTTGAAGAACAAGTGGAAGCGATCAGGAGTTGTTTCAGAGACAAGGATGCAAAGGTGGAGGAGATGAAGCAGCGTGTTGGAGCTCTTGAGAAGTCTGTTGCAGGAGCTGAGAAGAAGAAGAGTTTCTGGGCTATGGTTTCATCTGTTACTACAGTTGTCGCTGCTGCGTCACTTGCCTTTGCTGTTAAAGTGCGTTAGAAGAGGAGAGAAGAAGCCATAGCCGCCAAACCTGCATGGGTGACTAGCTCTCTAATTTCTGTTTCTGTAGGAAATAAGGAGAAGGTTTCTTACTGCTTGAGGGAGGGCATCTAATCTACTAAGAATGATGATGGGTGCCATTTTTGTTAAAGCCAAGTTGCTTACTTGTTAATCCCTGGCCTTGTTCTGTTCTCTTAACACAGTGAACAGATTTCGGCTAGTCTCTGGTTTTGATGGTCCATCCTCACTGTTTTTTGTCTTGTTTTTCCATAACTGAATTGATTGCATGATTTTCAATGGAGGAGCAGTTCTGGGCATTTCATGTTCTGATATGAATGAATTGCTTGATGGGTCTTATATTAAAAGCTTGTTATGGGGAAGAAGATAACTTCTTGCTTTTTATTCTCTCTTCTCGTTGAATGGACAAGATAACTTTGTTGATAAAAATGGAATCGGCTAAATTACCCGTTTGGTCGCAAATTTTTCACATTTGCCACCTGAATTACTTTTCTTTTTTATTTGTCACTAACTTTATGAATCGTTTCACCGTTAGCCACCGGTTGTTGGACTCCATTAAATTTGTCCTATGTGATAGTAAACTATAAAATTTGATCGTTAACTAGATGACGTGGAAATTTAATTTTTTTTAAAAATTTTTCCACCTCATGATTCCACTTACTTTATCTATATGATTTATCATATTAATTATTTAATAAAAATTAATTTAATTACAAAAATTAAGTACGTGTGGGTAAGTGCAATTGAAAGCAGACCAGATCACTCTCCTCCCTCCTTGGCATTGTTAAACAAGAAGAGCCTGACGTCTCCGGTCTCCATAGATGGCCTTGGTAGGATAAACTCTAAGAGTCTGGACGAGATCACTCTCCTCTCTCCTTGTCCAAAGCTCTCCACAATCGAATGATCCACCAACACTCTCATCTGCAACTTCTCGTCGCCCACCGCCGGAATCGAGCTACCATACAAGACCTTAAACACGTCCGAAGCCAACGATGACCTGCATAACGAAGCAGGGGAACAGAGTCACAATCCGAGGACAATCTAACATGTCCTACTCCAACGTCGATCGTTAATGTGGCTATAGTGAATGGAAATTATGGAATGTGAACAACTAACCTGTTTGATCTGTACAGAAGTAAATTGTGATGGCGTCGGCATCTATTTGCACTGGCCGGAAAAAAAAAAAAAACAGAGGTGAGCTTTCCCTCTTTTGGGTTTTGGCATGTCCCTTTTTTTACCCTTAATACAGTTTGGTCTAACTCGCGGGAGAGAGAATCGCGAAATAAAAAAGATTCGCCGCCCAATCAAACTCCATTCCCAATTCAAATCCTCAAACGTGTTTGCAATGTAGTCAAAAGTTAGCTTTAAAGCCTAAAAGCCTATGCTTTTACGCTTTGGAACCCCCAAATATTGTAGCTTTTGTTCAAAAAGCCTTTTGCATCAAAAGCCCAAGTAAAAGTCCTCAATCCCACTAAAAGCCTTAGAAGGTAGCTTTTGACCACTTCTCTATGCTTTGATATCCGAGTATGAGGATCATATTGGTCGTGTTTGGTTCAATTTTTTGGACAAAAGAGAAAAATGATGTTGTCTTATTTGTTTTCTAGTCGGGTTATCCTTTCAGTCTTTGCTTTTATGAATTTATCATCCCTAATTCACCGCCACTTTTCCACATTCTCATATTTTCTCGGCCTCCAAAACCACATGCCACATCCAAAGTCCTGCCTCCAATGCTTTTCCCATAGTTTCCCGCAACGTGCATCCAACTTCCTCTTAGTAGGCTCCCACTGCGACAATAACTTGGATATCTTCACTCGATGCATCAACCCTCCCCATCCCTATAACTCCTATCCCACCTCTATGACTATGTTGTCGTCAAAGCTCATCTCCTTTAGCCTCACATTTCGCCACTTTCACTTATTAGTGGAGCTTGTCTATAGTCCTTCTAGCTTCATCATTTGTTGTTGGTATCCTTTCTCATATTTTTATAGAAAGCAAGAGGAAGGGGTTGAATTCTTGTTTGAAGGCATATTAATTTAGCTTATGTTTATGAGAGTAATATGTTAAATGAGCTAGTTCATCTCTCTATTCATATTTTTCATAATACAAGTTATGGTTAGAATATTTATATTAAAATTATATGATGTGCAAAAGCTTACGCTTTCAAGCTTCGCTTTTGTGCTTCCGCTTTTATCCATCATTTCGCTTTTACCTAGAATCTAGACTTTGATTGCATTGCGTGTTTGTATGTCGGTTTCGCTTGCAGCTGGAGAATTTTCAATTTTGCCATATAAGTGCGGTATGAAAGTCTTGATCAAACTTTGACTTACTCTCCTGCCCATCAAGACATGGATGAAGATGAGCTTGAACTTGGCACCGTCTTTGGGCAAGCCTATTTCTTTGTAGGCCATATGCCGTTCGGAGCTTTATTCTGGATGCGATGACGGAGGATCATCTGGGTTGCCGCAGATCTTGGGAGATGGAGGGCAAGTGGTTAGATACACTCATCCCACCAACGCCACCAACAACACTGTAGCTATCACTCTCATTCGGAGAGCTTGGCGACCTTAAACAGGAGGGACGAGAAGGTTGTCGATCGGTGGACGACGACCATCCGGGTCTCTCCACCGAAGTGGAGGAAATTGTTGTGATGGCTGACAATTAATTTCTGTAATTTAATTAATTTTTATTAAATAATTAATAAGATAAATTATATAGACAAGTGAAATGATGAGGTGGAAAAATAAATTGATTTTTATTTTTTAAATTTCCACGCCATCTAATTGATAGTCAAACTTTATAGTTGACTGCCACGTAGGATAAATTTAACGGAGTGTAACGGCCGATGACTAATGGTGAAACAATTCGTAAAGTTAGTGGCTAATAAGAAAGAAAAGTAATTCGGATGACAAATGTGAAAGATTTGTATAATTTCAGTGACCAAACGTGTAATTTAGCCCAATGGAATCCATTAGATTTGTGGATAATATGGGCAACTATCAGAATGGGCAGTTGAACTAGAATACCAAGTCACGGAGAAGAAGGTAAAACTGAAACTACACGTGGCGTGTAGGGATGGCAATGGGTCGGGTCGGGGACGGATAGTGCATATCCGTTACCCTATCCAAAGTAGTTCGGGTTTTATCCATACCCATACCCACATATAAAACGGGTAGAAAATTAAAATCATGCCCATACCCGTTCGGGTTTCGGGTATCCACGGTTATCCATGGGTAATGATTTCTCTTCATAACTCCCACTAATATGTTAACATTCACACGTATTCTAACATTACGCAAGAGGAAAAGTATGACAATAATTGACTAGAATGAAGAAAATTAATTAAAACAACACAATTTCATGAAAATATTATATTTATATGCTAAATATAAAATATGTTAGAGAAAAATAATGACTATTTCTAGACAAAATACATATGTATGTGTATAATCGGGCGGGTTTGGGTTGGATACTGAGAAACCCATGCCCACCCATTACCCCCAATATTCGGGTTCGGATTTTACCCATACCCACTAAATGTCCTTCGGGTTCGGGTTTTACCCTACCCGATCAAGCCGGGTTCGGGCGGATATCCACGGTTACGGATATTTTTGCCATCCCTAGTGGCGTGGCGCATGATTTGGTGACATAGCAAAACAACTTTCATTTTTCGATTGGATGATACCCTATTTTGGTATAACTTTCAAGGGTCAATAAGGTCTGAAGTATGACGATATAATCAATTTTGGTCCGTGGTTTCAGAAATTAACATCCTAGTTTCACATATTCAGCATATAATCTAGTTTGGCCAAATGTCAGTTTTGACCGTCAGTTTGGACGGTCAACGCTCCAACTCAGCACCAAATGAATAAAAAAATCTAATTTCAAATTATTTTTTATATTTCGTTTATCAAATTATATAAATATATAAAATTAAGCCTAAAATAAAATATGAATAATGAAAGAAAGCTCTAACCCTACTTCTCTATCCACTCACAATAAACCCCAAAACCCCCAAACCTCTCCAATATAATTCTCCGCCTTCTTCCTCCTCATATTCGCAGCGTAAGTACTCAGATCGACGAGACTCTGCCCGAATGGAGGGACAAGTTCCTCTCCTACAGGGAGCTAAAAAAGAAATTGAAGCTCATCGATCCCAACAGGGCCGGTGACGGCCAGGAGATAGGCCTGCCAAGCGGCCGAGACTGGACGACGACATGACGGAGGATGAGATCGATTTCATTAAGCTTCTGGAAGACGAGCTTGAGAATTTGAACTCCTTCTTCGTCGAGAAAGAGGAAGAGTACATCATCAGATTGAAGGTAATAATAAGGAAAAAGTTATCTTTGTCCCCCCCCCCCCCCCCAAATTTTTTTTCCTCCGCTATCCCCGATCCGGAAGCTCGAATACTGTGGCTACGAGATCTCGCGGCGGGAGGCAGTACAAGGGAGCAAGGGAGAGGGTGTGGGGGAAGTATGCGGCGGAAGAGAGGCGGCGGTGGTCAAGCAAAAATGAAGACGAAGAAGAAGAAGAAGAAGGAGGAGGAGGAGGAAGAGAGGCGGCGGTGGTGAAGCTGAAACGAAGAAGAAGAAGAAGAAGAAGAAGAAGAAGAAGGAAGAGAGGGATTTGGGAAACTGAACTTCTATTCGTCGCCCTAAGTTTTCAAATAAATCGCCCTAAATTTATTGAATGGACAATTTTACCCCCAACTTAAAAAAACCCTAACCTAAACTTACCATTTACAGCGCCCCACATCCCACTCCCTCGCAGCAGAGGCGCAGCCGCCTCCCCTCCCTTCTTCCATTTCGCAGCAGACCAGCCGCCTCCCCTCTTCTTTCCAAGTCGAAGACCAGCCGCCGCCGTTCACTCTCCCCAGCAACGCCGCCGATCCACGCGTTCCTCTGCTCGCCATTGTCGTCGTCGCCGGGAGAAGGTGAGTCGCCCTTTCTTTCCAACTTTTTTATTTTTATTTTCGTGGATGTCAACGGGGCGGGTGGAAAACCTGCTGCCGGCGGGCAAAAGACAGGTCTTCGTCGACGTAAATAGCAGGGAGATGGGAAGGGCCGGATCTGGGGTGAGGCGGGCAGGTAATCCGCCTGCATCGGGCGGTGGCTGGGTCGCCAACCCGCCCCGACCCGGTCCAGTCGGGTATCCGACCCGCCCGACCCGGTTCGGTCTGGTTTTCCAACCGGTCTGATTCTGTTCTGCCCAATTTTTTTTTTAATTTAAATGCATAGGTTTTTGAATTGTTGATTTTAATTAATAATAATTGTGAATGATTATTTATGCGACATATATTAGAATGTGAATTTTGATCAACTTGATTTGAATTGTTAATTATAATTAGCATGATGTTTTGTTAT